CGTCATTCTGAACAGACGATTCATGTGAAAACGATGTCAATCATCCCTTGTAGTATGATGAACAAGAACCACATGAATTTGTACCAAAATCATTCAAGATTCACTTTAATTTGAATGATTCAAGGTTTAGAAATTTAGGGTTAGGGTTAGGGTTTACAATTGGGATTTTGGGTTTAAATTCAAAATTGAATGTTAATAGGTTAGGGTAGTGGGTTGATTAGTTGTGATTCTGTGTTATATCATCATATGAGACTAATGCTACCCATTAAATTTCAAATTTTAATGTATTATGACCACTTTTAGAGGTGGGTGCACTGAATGCACCCAAAAAAGTGAGTGCACCGAAGTAGCCACCATATATATATATATATATATATATATATGCCAATGTATCTATGTAAAGAACGAAAGAAAATAAGATCACAAAACATGAGAGGGAGATCCTCTCCGTGGACTAGTGTCATGTCGACGATACCACGTTAAAAAACTTCGGTGTTGTTTTTTGTTCTTTAGATTATTTGACAGATTCAGCTTGTGCTTGCATGCTTGCTGAAGAATGGGAGGGTGTTGGGGGACTTGAATCTCTATTATAGTATGACTGTTGATCCCATGTTGCTATGTAGCAGCTCCACCATCCAGAAAAAATTGAGAAACTTCTCATCCAACTGTCAAGCTATGGTTGCTGCAGTTATGACGATAAAATGAAAGTTGCTCCTGATGTCCTTTGCGTAGTGAGTTGGGAACAAAATTAATGGTCCAAATTCTTCCTATGGATATGTAATGGAAATCAGAACCAGCCTGCCTTAGTAGGATCACTTAAAGGTGGAGCCGTCCTCCTAAACCTCGATGATGTAGAGTTTCATGGCTCAGGTAAATGATTGCAGGAGCAATCAGGATGTAGACTGCCTTGTTGGTGGTGGAGGTCACAGAGAGTTAATATTTCAGAATCAACTATGTATATATTGCAACAATTTTCTACCCCGTTGACGCATTATAGTGAGGATGAAATATGATATGATTTTGACCCACAAATTTGGCAAAGCTTGGTATAGAAACCACAGAAGCTTGATTTTTTTCCAAAATGCATGAATTGTTACAAAGTTTTAGGCAAGATAACACTTGCATACAAATTTCTCTATGTAAACAATTTTGGCCTAGAACGCTACAGTATCTTAGTGATTTAGGTGCAAAATGTTGCTAATAAAAGCGGTTTAGTTGAATCGTTACAAACTCAATGAATAAAAAAGTTTGTCCCTATTCAACGAAGAAGACTTTGATCTAGTGGTAATGCCATTAATTTTGAATATGGAGGTTCCATGTCCGAATCGGTTAAGTACCTAATAAAAAAACATATATCACTTATATATATATACGTCAGACGTATACTATACGTCAGGTACTACTAGTGAGATATCTCTATCTAGACCATGAATTAAATCGAGAATGTGGTATGATACTATACCCTAACCTCTAATGGATAAACCCCAGACACCGATTTTCTAAACCCCAACCCAATGTTTGATTTAATGAAAAACAAAAACTGGCCATTGAGATTGACCGGAGCTCATCTAAGTACATCTAACGGTTAGATCACCTGCTGTATACTATACGCCTGACGTACACCAGTCATTACCACATATATATATATATATATATATATATATATATATATATGGCGAGTTCTATGGTACCCTGGGTGAAATCCGGGGTACCGCATACCTTGAGTATGAAAACACTATCTACACCTTGAATTGACCGATCTTTCGGACATGATACTATACTCTAACACTTAAAGATCAAAATCTAGGTGTTAAATCTCCCAATCTTATACTCCAAGATCAATTTAATTAGAAATAATAATCGACGGTTATGATTCATCCAAATATAGGCACAAAAAGGAATGCACCATCTTAGGGTTTATAGATTATGATTTAGATAATTATGACCTAGGGTTCACTCATTAAGGGTTAGGGTATAATATCAGACACAAAAATTCTGGTAATTCGAGGTCTAGATAGAGTTTCCATACTCGAGGTATGCGGTACCCCGGATTTCACCCGGGGTACCATAGAAGCCACCATATATGTATATATATATATGGGGAGTTCTACGGTACCCAGGGTGAAATCCGGGGTACCGCATACCTTGAGTAAGAAAACGCTATCCAAAACTTGAATTGCCTGATCTTTCGGACATGATACTATACTCTAACCCTTAAAGATCAAAATCTAGGTCTTAATTCTCTAAATCTTATACCCCAAGATCAATTTAATTAGAAACAATAATCGACGGTTATGATTCGTCCAAATATATGCAAAAAAATCAATGCACCATATGAGGGTTTATAGTTTATGACTTAGATAATTATGACCTAGGGTTCACTCATTAAGGGTTAGGGTATAATATCAGACACAAAAATCCTGGTAATTCGAGGTCTAGATAGAGTTTCCATACTCGAGATATGCGGTACCCCGGATTTCACCCATGGTACCGTAGAACTCGTCATATATATATGGTGGCTACTTAGGTGCACTCACTTTTTTGGGTGCATTCAGTGCACCCACCTCTAAAAGTGGTCATAATACATCAAATTTTGAAATTTAACGGGTAGCATTAGTCTCATATGATGATATAACACAGAATCACAACTAATCAACCCACTACCCTAACCTATTAACATTCAATTTTGAATCTAAAGCCAAAATCCGAAATTGTAAACCCTAACCCTAACCCTAAATTCCTAAACCCCGAATCATTCAAATTAAATTGAATCTTGAATGATTTTTGTACAAATTCGTGTGGTTCTTGTTCATCATATTACAAAGGATGATTGACTTCGTTTTCACATGAATCGTCTGCTCAGAATGACGATTATGAGGTGGGGTGCATTGAGTGAACCGAAGACATAACCATATATATATAAATTGGACAGTGGTTTGTGCTTTATCGTCCAATGGACAAACTTTTTTTATTCTGAAAAACTTTTCAAGGACTACAACTTTTTCAGGGGACAATCTGTGTAGATTTTTGCATGTTTAAATATTGCTTTGTGCTTGGTTATCGACAGACTGGTTTGGCTTTAGATATAAGTAGTGAGCGATTTAGATGAATTGCCGCTAATAAAAGCAATTTTGATGAAGCGCTACAAACTCCATCGATATTGCTGGAGACTTCAACAAATTTTACTTAGGGGTCGTTTGGAAGTTGTGAATGTTAAATCGTTGCATTGTAATGAATCATCATAATATAAATGCATGTATTGATACAATGGATGCATTTTAACAATACATTGATTGGTTGTTGAGATTCTACTTTATGCATTGATTTACATAAAGTTACTTTTATGGGGAAATGTCACATTTATTCTCAACTTTTAGAATAAGACGAAAACTATTAGGGATATAAATAGAAAGAAAATGTTAACACAAATCTAAAACCAACAATCACAACAATCTCAACTTTTAGTTGAGATTGTATAATGCATCATTTTTTTTTTTATTGTTGGTGGGACCTATCTAAAACAATGCATGCATTGTTTTACACTTCGACACTTCAAAACATTGTATTGTGCACAAAGTTGAGATTGTATAATGCATCATTTTTTTTATTGTTGGTGGGACCTATCTAAAACAATGCATGCATTGTTTTACACTTCGACACTTCCAAACATTGTATTGTGCACAATACATGTATTCAACAAACACAACTCTAACAATCACAACTTCCAAACGACCCCTTAATGTATGTCAAAATTTCAGAAGGTTGTAACTTTGTATTTGGTTATCCGATCAATGCAATTTGTTCTTTTCTTTCACATAAATTTTAATATCTTTGCACCCGCAAACGGTCGAAGGCGTTTTGGTCCCCATTCGTCTCCAAATAAGGATGTTTGCTGCCACAATGTGTTATTTTTTTATTTCGCTAAACTTTTGGACGTTTGTAATTAGGTTCTTTATAGTCAAATTGGGACAAATCTTTTTTATTTTGCAAAAACTTTCAAGAATTACAACTTGGGGGGGGGGGGGGGGGGGGGTGTGGAACAATTCTCCTCTTAAATCATCATATTTATTGTTCAAAAAGTTGTAGTCGTTGATAAATTACGCAAAAAAAAAGAGCATGGATTGTACGACAAAGCACAAACTAATCATTTAGAATTTGGCGAAATCACAAAATATTTTATTTGAAACAATAAACGATCATATTTAGAAAAGAAGACGGAACAAATCACCTTCGGAATTACTCCCTTTGAAGTTCCAACCTATGTAGGCCAAAAATTATTGGAACCTCTAGAGATTTTGAAACAAGATCATCGAGTTTGCAATACTTTAGCAAAATCGCTTTTCTTTACACTTATTGGAATAAAATCGCTATTATCCTGAGCGATCTTATGTCTAATGGAAAATAAAGTAACAACATATATATTTTGGGAAATTCCCTACTGAAATAATGAGAGGCACATAGGTGACGTGTATGAGACGCGACAAGGTTCCCGTAACACCTTAGGCAAATCCCACATCGACAAAACACTGGAGATATCCATGGTTCATATGTAAGAAACCGACCTTAACTGACAAGTCGCGTTTTGGGGTGACTGTGGAGTACAACAAGGTAAATCCGTGTGGGTGTAAAGGCCCAAAGCGGAGAATATCTTGTCGGGAAAAGATGCGGGATGTAACCGCTGTCCGTTTCCTTTTTCCTGAAGAAGTCCAGGCCCAAATATGTTTTTATGAGGACATGGGCTACCGGCCCATCTCAGCAACAAAAGTCTCATATAAGTCTGTCAATTCTAGAGGGAAAGGCTCGCTCTCCTCCTGTCTCTCCAAAACAAACGAAAAGAAAAACTGATCTCAACCAAGATGAAGAAGCGCGGTAGCAGCGGAGCTGACGTCTGAGCCGACGCGAAACGGGCAAGAATAGAGGGGCAGGTAGCCGTGTGTTTGGCGGCGGCGGCGGTGGCGGAGGAAGTGAAGGGCTTCACATTCCTTGACGCTGAAGGATTCATGCTCGAAATCCAGCACGAGGCTCAAATCTTGGAGAAGGTGATGGATACCGGAGGCGAGCCCACCATTGCCGCGCCGGAGAAGCTCCAGGACCTAGCCCGAGAAACAGAGTATTTTGACGACGAGCCGGTTCTTGACGTCAACGTTGCGTCGGTGGAGAAGTTTCAGGATCTAGCCCAACAACAACTGGAGTATTTTGAACCTCACGAGGAGAAACCTGTCGCCGCTGCTGCTGCTGCTGCTGAGGAGAATGAGAATTTGGCGGTGGACGCTGAGGAGGAACAATTGAAGACCTGGAATCTGTTTATTTCATGGACGTCGGCGATCAAGCCAATGCGGGGAGATGCAGCGGCGGCGGAAGGACACGACGATGGCGAACAAGTAGAAGATGGATTTTCTTTTGATACACTTGGTTAGCTTCGGATATTTCTTCTTCTTTCTCCTTCTGATAAAAAAAGTTTGTACAATTGATCATGGAAGGCAATATTGCTAATGCTGTCATTATAGGATTTTGTTGGTCTCATTCGATCTCATTTTCTTGCTCTACTGAACTGATAACGTCCAAACCTCTGATTAAGACGTTAGCTTCTTCAAAATAGGAACTGGGACGATTCTTGATCACAAAACAGGATAAAAGAGATGGTTCGACCGTGCAACTTCTCGCCGTATTGGGGAAGAGGCTCGATCGAGTCTGTGGTAGCAACTCGGCCACAATTGAGGGGCGTACTCAATTGATACGAGCTCGCTTGATTGATGGAATTCAATCCATGCAAACAAGGACAATTCACGAGATAAAACTCAATGAACAAAACGTGTTCTTCGATTAAAACTTGTCCTCAATTACAATGCAAACAACGATTAAATAGACTCTAGCTAACTTACCCAACAAGGAATAGACGTCCTACCATGATTACAACTCGAACAGAACTCAAACTAACAAGGAAAGAATAAAAACTCCAAAATAGTCCGCTAATCCTTATCCGCTAAAAACTCAGATTGCTTGTTTCCAAAGTCAGCAAAGGAGGCCTCGACCCGATCTTTTGACGCTTCGTTCGAGGGCTTCCCATCACCAAACCAATCACCCAATCCCCCGTCGTTGTAGCCCGAAACCTGTACTTTGATGTGGAACAAACCTCTTGGACTGATTCCCAGCCCAACTCCCAGAATCAATACTCAAAGTAGCCTTCTCGATCACAAGCATCCCAACACGTAAATAGTCTTTTTGGAGGGCTCGAAAATAGTCTTCTGAGTTAGGCCTCGAGCTCCCAAGCATCCCAACACGTAAACAAACATTCCAGATTCAAAACAAACTATCAAGCTCCTCATTCCATGGCTCCAAACATAAGAACCACGTTCCCAAAGTTCACTACCTGAACTCCTCAAAAGACTTAACCAAATTCCCACATTGTTCAAGTGATTTGGGTTACCTTCTCGAACAAGCAATTCCAGCTTGGTAAGGAAGCAATTCAGGGTTGTATCAGGCCCTCCCTCTTCAAAAAGCTTTGTCCTCAAAGCTGGTTCCCTCCGCTTCTCAAATCTTGCACAAAATTGACCCCAAATCGGGTCGAAAGTTGGCCTCTCCAACGGGCGAATCTGGAAAATTCGACCAGTGTTCTTCAGTGAACAAATTGGGGATTTGTTATTGAGGCCCGGCCAGTCGAATTCGATGATTCTGATGGCTTCGTTTGAACTCCAATAGAGCTCCTGTATCCACCCCATGCCTCGGCTTAGCGTCATCATCGTCGAATCGTCGTTCCCGCCAAATGCCGATTTCAAATTCGAAGAACTCCAAGGAGCCGCATTTGATTTGGGCGTTTCTTTTGCAGAGATCCTCGAGCTCAATTGAAGCTTTCCGCAGCTTCGCACTTCATTGACCAAGGGTTCTGAGACGTTGGTTGGTGTCGATTCATCCCCAGCTGCTCGGACCCATTCCGTCGAATTTTGCTCGTGTTTGAGCGTTTGCAGGGGTGATGGAACTCGAATTGGTGCCTGCACTTGGGTGGTTTTCGAGCCGTTCCAATTGGTGGAGAAGATTCCCTGAACTTCATGGAGTGTGCCCGTACCTCCGACGAAGTTCAACCCGTTCTGGGAAGCGCCGCCAAATTCGCCCTCTCTCCTCCCCTGTTCTGGCGACCGTCGACAGGGTCGGCGACGTCGCAACTTCCGTTCCCTTTTGTATCCAGTGAGCATAAAGCGTCGGGTGAGAAGGGAACCTCCACGGTGAACCTCAGAATTCGTTGCACTGAATTCCCCTTTCACTCGCCGTCGGCCAGCTTCGAGCTGCTCCTGATCTTCACGAACTTCCGCCGGAGTTAACGGCTTCAGTAAGAACTTCTTCCCGCCATGTCGAACCTCGTAACAATTTGTTCCCCCGTAATGGCATACGCCTCTATCAAACTGCCAAGGTCGACCGAGAAGCAGATGGGTAGCTTGCATAGGGGCAACGTCAAACAACATCTCATCCTTGTAATCTCCGAGTTCAAATATTACGAGAGCTTGTCGCTGAACTTTGATTGCGCCGTAGTCGTTAAGCCAGTGCAAATTATATGGTGCTGGATGTCGACTTGTGTTCAGTCCCAAGCGCTTAACAACGTCCTGGCTAACAACGTTAGCGCAGCTGCCGCCATCAACGATTACAGATAGTAGTTGACCCTCGACCAAACACCTCGATTGAAAGAGGTTCTCCCTTTGGTCTGTTTCAGGTTGATGAGTTGCCGTGAGCGCCCTCCGGCTGACTGCGAATAACTTGCCTGGTGGTGGAGCAACTTCAGCTTGAATTTCCTCTTCGATCTCGTCTCCATCAGAGTCAATGGCAAGTTTTGCCGGAGTTTCCTCATCATCTTCAGAATAGTATTCCCTGTCTCTGAGCACGAGATTTTTCCGATTCGGACATTGATTCGCCTTGTGCCCGCGCCCAAAACACTTGAAACACTGAATTTGTGCACTGGAACCTTCGTTTTTGGCTAGCTGTCTTTTAGCAGTTGTCCTTTTGCCCTCGGGTCGAGCTGGATTCCCCTGAGTTCCTGGAGCAGCGTCAAGATTGGCTTTTCTCTCCGGTGGGATTCTTCGATTGGCTGTAAGTTTCAACTGCTTCTCCACCTTGATCGCTAAGTGCACAGCGTCCTCCAACTCGACAAACGATCGAAGTTCAACTTCATTTCGAATTTCTCTGTTTAACCTGTGCAAGAACCTGGCAACCGTAGCTTCCCTGTCCTCGCGGACATCAGCTCTCATTAAGAGCAACTCAAGCTCTTTGTTGTACTCGTCAACAGAGCGAGAACCCTGCCGAATTCCTTGCAAGGAATCGAAGAGATCCCTCTGGTAATATTCGGGAACAAAGCGGTCCCTCAATAGTCCTCGCAGCTCGTTCCATGTCGCGATAACAGGCTGAAGGTTTCTTCTTCGCCGCAGCTTCATCTTTTCCCACCACAACGCAGCATACTCCGTAAATTCATAAGTCGCAAGCGAGACTTTCTGGGATTCAGTGTAATTGCCACATTGGAAGAAAAGGGTGATTTTCCTCTCCCAATCTAGGTAAGATGAGACATCGTTGGAGCCTGAAAAGGATGGAATTGACAACTTTATACCCTTGAGCTCGACAATGGTTTCCTCCGGCTCTGCCTCCCGGCGAATTTCCCGGTAATCGCCACGATCTTGGAAGCGGTGCTCATTATCGTGGTCAACCACCACCATACGCTGTTCCAGTTCCTGAAGTCGCGCCAACAATGCTTGATTCGTCTCGTCTCGAAGCTCCTCTGGCTGAGTTCTGCGATTGCCGCCGTGTTCTGCAAAATTTCTCGGCGGAACGGGGGCCTGCACTGTCGAGCGTAATGCGGCCAATTGTTTTTGGATTTGGTCGAATTGCGTTTGGAACGTCGCTACAATCGACTGCAATAGATCAGAATTGTTGATGGTTGGGTCCCCCATCACTTGATCTTCACTCGGAGTCGCCTCCTCGTATTCAGACGCGCTCCCTGTTTCAGGACATCGAACTGCAGGGTCGCTGTCTACAGAACCCTTCGATCTTGTCCAGGGCGCAGTGCTGGCTACGTTCTTCTTCGTCTTGGCCCCTGTGTTTGAACCTAAGGCTCTGATGCCACTTGATAACGTCCAAACCTCGGATTAAGACGTTATCTTCAAAATAGGAACTGGGACGATCCTTGATCACAAAACAGGATAAAAGAGATGGTTCGACTGTGCAACTTCTCGCCGTATTGGGGAAGAGGCTCGATCGAGTCTGTGGTAGCAACTCGGCCACAATTGAGGGGCGTACTCAATTGATACGAGCTCGCTTGATTGATGGAATTCAATCCACGCAAACAAGGACAATTCACGAGATAAAACTCAATGAACAAAACGTGTTCTTCGATTAAAACTTGTCCTCAATTACAATGCAAACAACGATTAAATAGACTCTAGCTAACTTACCCAACAAGGAATAGACGTCCTACCATGATTACAACTCGAACAGAACTCAAACTAACAAGGAAAGAATAAAAACTCCAAAACAGTCCGCTAATCCTTATCCGCTAAAAACTCAGATTACTTGTTTCCAAAGTCAGCAAAGGAGGCCTCGACCCGATCTTTGGATGCTTCGTTCGAGGGCTTCCCATCACCAAACCAATCACCCAATCCCCCGTCGTTGTAGCCCGAAACCTGTACTTTGATGTGGAACAAACCTCTTGGACTGATTCCCAGCCCAACTCCCAGAATCAATACTCAAAGTAGCCTTCTCGATCACACTTCCTGCCTTAGCCAAATCCGCCAGGATTTCCCGTTCTGCCATACCCTTTTTGGAGGGCTCGAAAATAGTCTTCTGAGTTAGGCCTCGAGCTCCCAAGCATCCCAACACGTAAACAAACATTCCAGATTCAAAACAAACTATCAAGCTCCTCATTCCATGGCTCCAATCATAAGAACCACGTCCAAAGTTCACTACCTGAACTCCTCAAAAGACTTAACCAAATTCCCACATTGTTCAAGTGATTTGGGGTACCTTCTCGAACAAGCAATTCCAGCTTGGTAAGGAAGCAATTCAGGGTTGTATCATGAACTTATCGATTTTACCTCATGCACCGTAGTATTGTAATTTATGATTCTCGCCGCCGGTGTAATACTCTTGGGAGCCCTGGTGGTGCTGATGGCGTCGACGAGCCCCAGGATCCTTTGTTTTGATCGGAGGTGAAAATTCTTCCTTCTTCCTGCGAACTAGGTGCATTCTCCCAAGAGATTGCTCGGGCGAGTCGGGCCATAGTAGGGATGGCAACAAAACCTGAACCCACGGGTGCCCACCAGATCCAATCCGGTCAACGCGGGTAAAATCCGTGTTGATGGGTTTGGGTTTAAACCTGTTCATTATTCACCGGGTTGGGTTTGGGTTTAGGTAAACCTGCCTCATGAGTACCCGCCGACACCCA